TTGCGGACTCCCCAAATGCTTGCTTTAGCATTTCATAGGTTTCCGTAGCCGTTTTGGCGAGTCTTTGGCAAAATTTGATGCACACGCCATTCCGAAATCGCAGGAGGGTCGGTGTAATGCACTACCAAAACGTCCGTAACTAAGAAACATGCTAATTCGATGATGCCGGCTGGCACATTGATTCACTATGAATGTAGGCCGCACCCCCTAGCGGCAGAAGCTCGTACTACATCCGGTTCGCCCTCTATTGACACAGTCTTGAAACTTTCCGATCGCACCTCGTATATATTGATGAATACCATTTTATTTTATTCTCAGCATACAGCATTCATTAATATGTAATTGTTACTAGGGAAAACTGAAATTAATATATGCAATGTTAACAATTTTTATTAAAATATTTTTGAAGAAATTACATATATATTGATCATGTTCTTTCAAGTTTGGGTGTGAAACCTGATCTCTCACTCTGAGGGAGGCACATAGATTGCAGTGTTTGAGAACAGGGTGTTGAGGAGGATATTTGGGCCTAGGAGAGACGAACTTAAAAATCTCTACTCCTCCCCAAATATCATCAGGGTGATTAAGTTAATAAGAATGAGATGGGCGGGGCATGTAGCGCGCATGGATGGGACAAGAGGTGTGCACCGGGTATTGGTCGGGAAGCCCGAGGGGAAGAGACCTAGACGTAGATGGGAGGATAATCTCAGGCGGGATCTATGGGAGATAGGAGTTTAAGGAGACTGGATTTTGTTGGCCCAGGACAGGGTCCGGTGGAGGGCTTTGGTTAATTCGGTGATGAACCTTCGGGTTCGGTAAGCCATCTAGTTAGTTAGTTAGTTCCTTTAATTTTCCACACGTGCATTAAAAAGTAACCTCAGAATAAAAGTAAAACAAATATGTCTTTGCCTTATAGATTTAATTTTCAATTTTACAAAAGGTACAACCATCAGTATTATTTCTCATCATGCATTTCCTAATATTGCCAGTGCACTTTTGTTGCAAATGTAAAAAGATCATCATCATCATCAACACACGTGACTGCACCACTTCTTGTCTATCATCTGGGTCATAGACCATATGCCAGTAGCTTTATCACACACAGCATTTTGATTCTGTCCAGTTACGTCTGTAAAAGTCCACTGATTGCTACTAAAGTAATTCAGTCATTATCTACCTCATCTACATTTATTTGCCTGCTTGAAAACTTCGCCTGATGTGTGAAATTATGCCCATGTTTCTTAAAATAGAGTTTGACAGTAAAACTGGTGATATAAAACCAAGATTCATTAGTTTTGCAACTGTTGGCTAATTATAGTAATTGAATTTTGTTGTCAGTTTCTTTTTGTAGTGATGATTGATTGAACAGCTGTATTATTCCATGATTGAGTGTTTGCTGGAGACTCGTAGTCTAAAGCAAGGATTCTTAAACGTTTTGTGTCTGGTAAAAGTAAAGTAAAGTTTGTCCCACTATACGCCATGTAGGCGTTTGGGGTGAGAGGAGGTATAGCTCCTCTCTTCCTTGACCTCGGCACTAGATGGGGGCTAGTGGTCGGCATCACGCCCCAGCCGTGCTTTACCCCCGGGAAAGGACCCCAGTACTTATTGTAGAGGAGGCTGGGTGGGCCCCAGAGCCGATCTGGACGCAGAGGCTAGAGGAAAAATCCTCTGCCCCCGTCAGGGATCGAACCCCGATCGTCCAGCCCGTAGCTAGTCACTATACTGACTGAGCTATCCGGGCTCATTTTTTGTGTCTGGTACCCTGGTAAAATAAAATAAATGTCTCGTAACCCACGGAAAATGAACTTGGAAAATACACTACCTACATTTGTATTTCTGATGGAAAGAAAGTACATGGTAGAGCGTGGTTATATTAATTTTAAATGGGGAAAGTATTTGAACTAATTTTAGGTTGCAAGAAGGGAGGAATTTTCACATCGTTTAGGTATAGTAGCTTCGCGGCAAGCCAGGCAGAGGACTACAGGTTGTGGGGGGGGAGGTGCTTGCTGATCCATAATTCTTTCTGTGTGTGATTTGTCTGAATTTTTATACGTATATATTTACATCTGTTTCGTTTGTATTCTGTTAATAAATAATAGTTGCATTTTTATTCTGGTCAATAAATGATAGCTTTGTGAAGGATGTGGGCCTGAGGTCTACACGCTGAGATTTGAATCCAGTCACCCACTTCAAGGAACTAACATCTCTGTCTCACACATTCTCTGTTTGACTCGTTCTGTGCTTCAGCGACTGTCGAACTAGGACCTTGCTGAGACGACCAGTTAGCTGTCGGGGCAAAGTATGAACGAATCGTACAGCGAGAAATTTCGGCAGAAGCCGGGTCGTTCAGAGACAGGCTGCGCAGAGACAGCATCATCTAGATACCGGTTCTGGCACCTACAGATTGGGGAGAATTTTGAAAACAATTTCAAATTTTACAAAATTTTCTAAAACAAAAAAATGTACAAAACTAAAAAAAATTAAAAACTTAGGATTTCAATTTTTTTCGGAAATTGCGAATTGTTTTGTTATTTCACTTTTCCACGACATTTGTAACCACTTCTAAAACTTTCAAAATTTTAAAAAGATTAAAATTTTACCAAAATTTTTAAAAATAGAAAATTGTAGATAAACGTCCCAAAAGTGTACAAAACAAAAAAATTGAAAAATTTCACCTTCAAAATTTTCAAAAAAATTTGGTTTTGTGCGTTTTTCACACAATTTCCAGCACTTTATGGTTTTTCGAAAATTTTGAAAATCTTCAAATTTTTTTCAATGGTCTCAAGAGATGCATGCCAGTTTCGGTGAATGCCATATCGTGTCTCTGCCGGACTTGGCCGCTTTCTCACCATGTTGCTGCCTGCCTCGGTGTCTGTATATACCGGCCTCTGCAGGACTCTGGTCTCTGCACGTCCTTGTGTGCCTCAACAGCAACTGGGTGAGATGGAGGCCGAGTCAGGCAGAGACAGGATGTGGCATTCACCGAGACTGGTCCAAAGCCCTGAGAAGTCACCTGTCCCAAGCCTTGAGAAGTCACCTGTCCCAAGCCCTGAGAAGTCACCTGTCCCAAGCTCTGAGAATAAACCTGTCCCAAGCGCTGAGAAGTCACCTGTCCCAAGCCCTGAGAAGTCACCTCTCCCAAGCCTTGAGAAGTCACCTGTCCCAAGCCTTGAGAAGTCACATGTCCCAAGCCTTGAGAAGTCACTTGTCC